GGGACCAATGCATGGGAGAGTCCCACACGCTATACTCCGCAGTTCACAGAACATGCTCGGACTAGGCAAGACTGCTCCACATGGGCGAGCTTTGACTTCCTCGGGCCCTTTTTTTTTTTTGGTTTTTCGAGACAGGGTTTCTCTGTATTGTTTCGGAGGCTGTCAGTCTAGCCTAGCCTCGAACTCAGAGATCCGCCTGCCTCTGCCTCCCGAGTGCTGGGATTAAAGGCATGCGCCACCACCGCCTGGCCCTCTGGCCCTTTTTAAATTTGGTGTAGTGACTCCAGTCCAAATAAGTGTTGTCATCTCTCATGTACTAATACTACTACAACAGTATCTTTTTTATTCCACACAAATAGCAACATGGTGGGATTCTGTCTTTGGACACAAGAGCATAAAAGAATTTGGCTTTGATGAGACTTTCCAGGCTGCCATCAGGACATACCAGGGGTTGGCGTTCTGAACAATGGCTGGACTGAAGGTCTTAATGAAGGAAAAACCTGCCAGGTTCTAGCAAGATCTGCTTTTCACAGGGCTAGATAAATTCTTCCAGATATAAAAATGCTCCTTTGATTATAACACAAATCTGAAAGCCACAGTCAGTGTGTGAGCTACGTGTGTCTCCCCCTGGAGACTGTCCTCCGGTTTTTATAGCTATGATAAAACACCACGATCAAAAGCAACTTTGTGGGTGAAGGGCTTACTTCATGTTACAGCTTGCAGTTCCATCATCCAGGGAAGTCAGGGCGGGGCCTACAGGCGGGGCCTGAAGCAGAGGCATGATGGGAAGGGGTGCTGCTTACTAGCTTGCTCCTCATGGCTTCCTCAGACGCCTTTCTTATAGGGAGATCCCCAGCCCAGACGTGGCACCGGTGGAGTGAGCTGGGCCCTCCACACCAAATAAGAAAATGCCCAACTGCCAAGGCCAATCTAGTACGGTCATTTTCTCAACTGACGCTCCCTCTTCCAAAATGGCTCTACAGTGTGCCAAGCTGATGTAAGACCAGCCACAGCACAAAGATTACACACAGGGGCTGACTGTGTTCTTTTGTGCTAATTCAGAGTGTGTAAGGTCATGAAAGTGAACATTAACTCTGCTGGAGGAGACAGCCCAGACCAGGGACAGCGTCTCCATCAAAGACACTGGTCACTCATGCCAACATCTTTCTGCCTCTTTCCTGGAAGGGACGTACAATGACTGACTTTTCATCTCACTAGTGGAGACTAGTTTCCTCTGGGGCAGGTAGGGAGGACAAGCCGCGAGTCCAAAGACTAGGACTGCGTAATGAAAGGGGAGACCAGGGAGTTGGTCCTCCCCTCTCTTCCTCACCTGCCGGGAAGATGGCGGGCATTCAGACAGAGCGTGCTTACCAAAACCAGCCCACAATCTTTCAAACCAAGAAGTGTGTTCTGCTGGGGGGAATCAGCAAGGAAAGACTCCCTCGGCACTACAAAAACATCCGCCTATGCTTCAAGACACCCAAGGAGGCCATCGAGGGCACCTACATAGACAAGAAACGTCCTTCACCGGTAACGTCTCCATCCGACATCAGATCCTGTCTGGGGCTGTGACCAAGAGGAAGACCCAGAGGTTCACTGTCATCCGGGACTATCTCCATTACATCTGAAAGGACAATGGCTTTGAGAAGCGCCACAAAAACATGTCTGCACACCTGTACCCATTTCAGGGATGTACAGATCAAGACATTGTCGTCATAGGAGTGTGCTGGCCCTGGGGAGAGTTTCAGAAGTTCTGAGAGGACTCTGGCCAACTTCCTAGAACAAATAGTTTCTAAACTTACACAAGCAAAAAGAAGACGGCAGGGAGAAGTCACTCTGAAGTGAGGTGAGGGAGGCACCCGGCACCCAGCGTAACAGGTCCTTCCCAGAACTCATCGGGGACATTTTCAGTATTAATTTCTGGTGAATCTTGTGGGTAAAATACCCTAGCGATTTTTAGGAACTGATCAAAGAAAAACAACCCAGGATCTGAACCCACGATGAGACAATGCAGAGAGATGTCCTGCATTCTTTTATGCTGCATTTGCTTAACTCTGTGAAGCTGTGTTCCTTTGCCTGCCTAAAGCACCTGATTGGTCTAACAAAGAGCTGAGCAGCCAATAGCCAGGCAGGAGAAAGGAAAGGTGGGGCTGGCAGGCAGAGAGGATAAATAGGAGCGGAAATCTGGGAGGAAAGATCAAGGAGTGAGAAAAGAAGAGAGGATGTCAAGGTCAGACACCCAGCTAGAAGAAAGCATATAAACTAGAGGAAGATAATTAAAAGAGCTGAGGCAGAAGGCAGATGGGACGATAAGCTGGCTAGAAATAAGCCGAGCTAAGGCTGGGCTTTCATAAATAAAAACAAGTGTCCGTGTATATTTATCTGGGAGCTAGATGGTGGACCTACAAAAAGAGTAAAGAGTAAAACAAGATAAAAAATAAAAACTACACAGGAACCGTGTCTAAGGAATGCCATTGTCCGCAGTGGGGTGAGTCCTTCCATGTCAGTTAGTCTAATTAAGATAATCTTCCTGAGTCCATGTCTACAGGCCGACCTAAACTAGAGGAGCCAGCCACAGGGAGACTTTCCAGGAGATTACAGATTGTGTCAAGTTGAGAATTAAAACTGACCATCAACAATTACCACAAATTTTACCTTGGAAGAAAAAAATGTTCCACAAAGCAGTTCTATGACTTGATTGCCACTTAACTGGCATGAGGGAGGCCTGGGTTCAATCCCCATGAAAAAGAAGAGAGGCAAAAAAAAAAAAAAAAAAAAGCCACTTTTTCCTGACCCTATCTCCAGATGGATATTTGCTAAAATACAGTTTAGCTAGAATAGCAGCAAAGAATGGCAAAAAGTTTTTACAGCCACCCATAACCACTCACTTACAAATAACCAAATTCTGCAAGGTTCTTCCACACCTCAGCAGCACCCTACATGAAATCCAAAAGGACCGTGAAACACTACACACACCTGGGCATTCCCCAGGGCCGAGGCGGGTGCCCCCCCTCAGTGCCCACTCTCACGGCGGCATCCCTCCTCCTGCTGGCCTCCGTTTGCCCTTGTGAAAACTTTCAGTGCAAACTACCTTCACGGAAACATGCAAGAGTAAGTCGGGGTAAATCCAATGGGAAAGGGAACCAACAACCTTCAGTGGAAGCAAGCTCGTTCACACACTTAATGTCCATTTAACCTTTGCAACCAAAGCGCAAACATTACCACGGGTTTTGTTGTTTGTCGCTCACCCCCCATTTCAAATGAGGAAGCCGGGATGTTAAAAAAAAAAATCACAAGCGACCCCACCCCAAAATAAATGACAAGATCCAAGCCCAGTGCCACCTAAGCCTAGAGGCCACCATTTTCAGTTCAAGAAGCTGCATAAATACAGCAATTACAAACTGCCGTCCTTTCTCCAGTAACAAGAGAACAGCATGACCACTAATTCTCAATTCTGGTTATTCATTTTGGTGAACTGATTGGTTGATGGGGTAAGTCCTTCTGTGTATGTTCATCTTATTGGTTGATAAATAAAGCACTGTTGGCCAATAGGGAAGCAAGATAGGTGGAACTAGGAATCCAGGAGGATTCTGGGAAAGAGAGAGACAGTCAGTCACGATGTAGGACGCCAGGAGTAAGAGGTCTGGATCCTTTCTCAGGTAAGAAGACCACGTGGAAATACTCAGATTAACAGTTATAGATCAATAAGTCAGAGCTAGCCAACAAAAAGCCATAGCAAATAGTCAACAGCTTCATAAATAATACAGCGTCCTGCATGTTCATTTGGGACTGACACGGCTCTGGGACCAGGCTGGTAGGAAGAATGCAAGTTTCAATGGGTCTCAAAATTTTCAACCTGGAACCGGTCACCATCGAGTTTCCACAAGAACCAACCCTGTCCTCTGCCTGCACGACAGAGCAGGTGTGTCCAGCAGGTGGTCAGGAGGGACACGCCTGTCTCTGCTGCCTTCCTAAGCAGAACGCTTGCTCCTACATAGGAAGCTCTGGCTTCCACAAAAATCATGTCCAGAGGTGGTTTTGCACCAGTTCAAGATCTCCATTTCTTTCTTTCTTTCTTTTTTTTGGTTTTACAAGACAGGGTTTCTCTGTTTTGGAGGCTGTCGGTCCAGCCTGGCCTAGAACTCACAGAGATCCACCTGCCTCTGCCTCCCGAGTGCTGGGATTAAAGGCGTGCGCCACCAACGCCCGGCCAAGAACTCCATTTCTAAGGACCGTACTTGCATGAGCTCCCACCCTGAGCATTATTAGAGATGGGATGACCCTCTGATACCCACCACAACAGTTTCCACGCAGGGTCAGAACACATTAATATAGTAGTTCTCAGCCCTGCTAATGTTACAAACCATCCAAAACACAGTGCCTCATGTAGTGGTGACTCCCTAACTATAAGATTATTTTTGTTGCTACTTCATAGTTGTCATTTTGCTGTTATGAATGGTGATATCTGTGTCTTCTGGTGGTGTTGGGTGACCCCGGTGAAGGGGCCTTCAATCCCCACAGGAGCTGAGACCCACGGTTGAGAGCTGCTGCATTACTGCGGAGGACCCGGGAGGGGCGGGGCCCGTTTGTGCTGCTCCTCTACAGTCACGTTTGCTTTGCTTGTTTGTCCCACACGTCATCACACGGTCAGCTCTCGGCAGCACGAAAACCACAGCCGATGACCCAACCACCAAGACACACAGTTCAGGATGGCATAGCCACCGTATGGGTGATTAGTGGTTGCTGTTATGAATTAATGAACAGTTTTAACAACAAGGCCCCCACTCAAACAGTTTCTCCTTTGAAGGAGAATGCCAACACCAACGCTTTTATCGAAAGTAAAAATCCTGTGAGTGACATTTTCGATGATGATGACGCCATCAAAGGCCAAAGACTCTCTCCTCGCTCTGGGAACCTGCTGTGGCATCAGAGTCCTCAGCGTCCGCTCGCCCCTGCACGTGCAGCATACAATGGGGAGCAGTGTTATTTCCCAGCCTTACCTTCAGATAGGATCCATAATATTTGGTCACATACGGACTGTCGCACTGACTCAGCACTGTGATCTCTTGTTGAATGTCCTCTATCTCATCTTCAGCCTCTTCCAGATCGATGATTTTAATGGCAACCACTTTCTGAGTCCGATTGTCAATGCCTTTGAACACCTCACCGAAAGAGCCCTTTCCGATTTTCTCCAGCTTGGTAAAAAAGCTCTTCTGGGTCTGCTTTCAGGTTCTGCAGGAGAGAAGGGAGGAGACGTCAGAGCTCCCAGAGCCACAGCCGGTTCCTCATTCTACCTAGAATGGTGTGTGCTGACCAGGGCCTTGGAGGGACTGTTCTGCTCTCTGTGACAAGGACATGATGCTGTGGCTTTGTTTCAGGGTCAGGGATCTCAAGGTCCTGCGTCTTATCTACATGCGTAGGTTAAACAAACAGCAAATGTCAGATGAGAACAATGCCAACTTGCATAATGAAAACAAAATGCAAAGTGTATATACTGAGATGCATTAGAATAGATATTAAGCTATTTTTAAGACTTGCTCTTGGGCTGGCAACGTATGGGGGGGGGGGTAGGACTGCCTATGAGGTGTGGGTCCCCGGGTTTAGTAGGCAAGGGAAGGACGAGGCGACAAGTTAGTTTGCTCCAAGCAAAACTTCGACTTTTTTTCTCAACCCGTCTCCAACATGTCCTAACTCCAGATGGACATTTGCCAAAATACAGGTGACTCGGCTCTCGCCTAGCAGGTAGAGGGAAGAAACGCCGCAGCCTAATTATAACAGACCATTTCACCCCCAGTAAATACAACCCTACTGGTTGTCATTTATAGTCACTCTCTTTGCCAGAACGATAGCCAGATGCCATTGCCAACAAATGCTGTTATGGTGAAAACACTTTTACAGTGCTTAAGCATGAACCCGCCTCAAGGTGTGATGACACAGCACACGTATCCAAGGACCAGGTCCCAACACCCACACGGCCCTGTCCCAGGTTTCTCAGCAGGGGCAATCACATCTGCACACAGTCTGAGGGGTTGTGTGTCTCAGCACTGGGCAGGAGACAGAGCCAGTACCTGCCCAGAGCAAAATGCCAGTGGCACCCAAAACCTGCAACTCCCAAGGCCATTAGAAGCCCCAACGCCAGTCTGGTAAACACATTTCCCACAGAAAGAAGAGGATGCCCGGCTGATCCTTCAAAGCCTATTATTAATGCTTCAAAGAATTGCACGACTGGGGGAGGGGGGTCAAGGGGTGCTGAGAGGGAGGCACGGACAAGAAGTAAAGGTTATCTGTGAGCAGTGACAGGGCAGGACGCCAACACCAGCAGCACGGTGACAATGACCTCGCTGTCACTGGGTGCCAGTCACTCACATGCTTTCGGAGTTCAAGTTCCAAGCAACTGGCTTACAACGGTGACTCGGGAGCCTTGCTGCGCTCACTGCTATGACAAAAACTAGGCACCAATAGTCATGGGTGCCCCCTTCTCACACGGAGGCAGAAGCAGAATCACACACAGCTAAAGTAAGTCCACATGCTGGACAAGGCACACACGATGTGAGACGTGCCGAGTTGCTACAAAAGAGGAATGCAGGACTAGGGCTGTGCCTGGCGCTGTGCACGATAGAGTGGAGTGAGCGCCCTGTCACACGCTGCTGGAGAAACCTCTAGGATTGCAAAGACTGCAGTTGTGGCCATGACCTCCTTGGCTCACAGGAAGCTAAACACATTCCCAGTGAGTCCAAGGAGAAAGCCCGTTCACCTTCATTTGCACTTCAAACAGGGCACTGTGTGGTTCAGCTGGGTGACTGTCTGTCGGGCAGCCCAGACCTGGACGGCTGCTGTTCCCAGTCGTGAAACCCTTCATGTGCCAAGACAGCCTGGGAAAGCTCTGAGAGCCGAGGGTAATCTCCTGAAGTGGGGGCTATTTTGGAAGCTGGTGGGTAACTCCAAAACTTCCTTTAATTTTAAACTCACCCAGTTTACTAGGTAAGCACTCTTCAAAGTCGTTTTCTGGAATATCCCCAAAGAATGCTGGAGAATGCGGGGGTGGGGTGACATCCACTCAGCCTGCACACCTGCTCCTCTCCCATCACACAAGCAGCCAGGAGTAAAGACCCGGTGAGGGACATCCATGCCCCTCCTCCAGCAGAATCACCCCCAGACAGGGCAGCCGCCCAGCACTTCAGCAGCTCCCAGTCTAAGGCCTCTTACCTCCTTCCCTCCGGGATGAAGTGGAGTGGCCTTCCTTTTCTTCAAGGCTAACGCTAGTCTCGGGACTTTGGAATCCATCCTTGTCTCTCTGTAAGCTTCCCCAGCAACCCTTTGGGCAGCTCTCTCTCCTCCCCACTATCCCTGTCTCTGGCTCCCTGCCCTGGGCAGCACGCTCAGGTTCCTCCCACTTGGGACAGGCAAGATGTCCCACTTGGCCTCAGCAGTCCTGTCCTACCCACGTCACACACTGCTCTGCTGAAGGTTCCCGACCGGCCTCCGCACCTGCCTGCCCCAGGGCAACACTGGTCACCAGTGATGCAGCCTTCCTTGCAGCCCCATCAGCCACGCCCTCTGCTCCCTTGTAACTTGGCCTCCACAGCCTGCCTGGGCTCTTCTTCCAATCCCTGGTGCCAAAGGGATCTTCACACTGGCCCTCAATCCAGCAAACCACTCAGGTCCCAAGCAAGCAGGCCTTCCATCCTTCCTCTAGGTCTTCTCCCAGCGATGCAGCCAGTCAGGGTGTGGGTGAGTGCCCCCCCCACCCGGCTGAACAGAAACACCTGGGAGCTAACCATTAAACGTAGCGAGGGATGGGGAGTTACATACAATACACACTTTTTAAGCATTCCAGAAGACACTAAGGCCTGCTCTCCACTGCGTGTGCATGCCAACACCACACCGTCGGCCCCCACTCTGCTTCCGGTCTGAGCGCCAGGACACTTCACTCTCGTATACTCTTCCCAGACGCACCGTGTCACCTACACCACTGAAATCAACGTCTTCTCATGGCCTTCCTCTTCTGCACGGTCTTACGTTCTGGACCGACTACGCTGAGGAAGTTTGGGGGCTATGCTCACTCACTTCTATGTCCATAAGTCACAACACTGTGTCATGAAACTGATAATAATTGCTCCCCGAGCAATAAGAAAACCTGGTTTACACAGACATCAACAAGACCCACATAAGAAGTCACACAAAATAATCTATTTCTGAGACAGTCCCAAAGGACACTCTTAGAGGAGGACTCCTGAGAACTGAGGGCAAAGCCAGCCTGGGCACAGCAACTGCTGACTGCTCCACCCTCGCGCACAGCGCTGGGACCTCCTTCTGAGAGCTTTAACAGAGACAATGCTAGTTATCAAAACCCTTCCAACACCACAGAGGCCAGTGAAGGACACTGTACCTACGAATCCCGCCTGCCCTTATACACATTGCCCTTATACACATTGCCCTGAACACACCTTCAGCAGTCCCCTCAATTCGAGGTGAGACCCATCCGGCCAGCTCCTTCCTGGACCCCAACTGAAGCCCTGGCGTATGTGTGAGGTCATTCCCGGCCCAAGGCCAGCAGAACTGCCCAGCACCCACAGAATCAGACACTGGAAGTTGCCTGGCTTGAGCTGTCCGTCACCCCATGAGACAGCTAATACAAAGGGATGCTGGAAGCCTTCAGCCAACTCCCAGGCCTAGTCTCAGGAGAGAACAATCTGTGGCAGACCTTCCTGTCTTCCCCTGGGGGCTGAGACGATGGTATCTCGGCTCACAGCGCCCTGCAGAGACAGGAGATGGAGCCTGCTGCAGGCTGGGGGACAGCAGGGGAGAAACACACTGTGCATTTGTGTGGGGCACAGTTCTCAGCAGCAGCAGAACTAGCAGAGTGTTACCACAAATGGTCCCCAACAAGTCACCCCCCTGCCCCAGGCCCACAGCTCCAAGCATCTGTGTCTGCTGCCCTAGCCAACACTAAGTGGACTGTCACCACAGAGCGCGGGCCTGCCTTGCGCCTCTTCAAACCTGTACAGTCTTAAAGGACCACACGGCTCTCATCCAAGGCCTCCTGAACACCTCCGTCAACACAAAGAAACCTGTTCTGCCCAGTGGGGCAGGGGCAGGAGGACAGATGCCCAGCCACCTGCTGTGTTCAAACCTCCAGAGCACAGGGCCCCTCAACCCTCCCCCTGTGCTATGGTCTGAATGCACCCCCAAACCTCATGGTGAAAAGTGACTGACACTTTAGCAGGTGACCCCTGGAGGACGATTTGGCTCTGGGAGCTCTGCCTTCATGACTGTACTGGATTGTGCTCCTGATGGGACAGGCTCCAGATGTGAGCACCAGGTTTTTCTGAGGACTTTCTGTCTCCCCGGCATACTTGTTTGGCCTTTCCGTCATATTACAGCATGGCGGAAAGGCCCTCACCAGATGATGCCCTGCGGTGCTCTTAGATAGTCCACACTGGAATGACAGAAATGCCTGTATCTAACCAAATCTGCGATCACCAGTGAAAGTAACTAAAATGGATGGTGACACTAAAACACTGACTTCTCTAATGACAAAAAGCTTCACCAGCTCGTTTAGAAATCTGGAGTCTTAGGGGTCAAGCGGAAGCTGCAGGGAGGGCCCTGCCTTGCCTGCTTTGGTGGCTTCATCAACTCTCTCCATCCTTTTCATCATGACAAACCAGACCATCTGTCACCAGCTTCAGCCTAACCCCTGACCTTCATGCATAACCAAACCTTATCTCCTTTCTTTTTAATCTGGAACAAGATTCAGAAAAGCTCGAGTTGTTTATTATATTGAATCATATAAAGGTCAGAACCCTTAATAACTCACCAATACAAACAGCAAATTCACTGCTCCAGATCCAAAGCCCAGGCTTGAGCCTGGGCTCTGAGAATTGCCAAACCTTTCCGCCAACACATCCAGAAGTTTAGCGAGAGAATGGCTACCTAAAGCCTGGGCTCTCCCTAGAGAGTCAAGCACACAGTGGTGTCCACCACACCACACGGCACTGCTGAGAAGGTCTAATGGGCTCCAACAAAGGCCTGCACCGCTACAGACTTCTTCTTTTTATTTTTTTTGGGGGGGGTGTTTCAAGACAAGGTTTCTCTGTATTGTTTTGGAGGCTGTCCTGGAACTCACTCTGTAGACCAGGCTGGCCTCAAACTCAGACTCGCCTGCCTCTGTGAGTGCTGGGATTAAAGGTGAGCGCCACCAACGCCCAGCGACCACTACGGACTTCCAGCGGTTCTCTATATCCAGATGCTCAGAAATGAGTCTTGAAGGAAAAAATAAGTGGCCAGTTCCCACGTAACATCTGCCACCATAGCCACACCTCCTTTGCTCTGAACTCTGCTTCTTGCACACACAGAGGAACCTTCTCCTTTTTCAGCTACTCTGGATTTCCGACCGTTCACTGTGAAAACTTGCAAGCCTCCATCAAGACAAGATGGTAATAAACCTGTCTTGGATACTGTTTTATAGCTGTAAAGAGACATGATGACCAAGACAACTTTTAAAGGAAGGCATCTACTGGGAGCTGGCTTACAGTTTCATTGGGTTAGTTCACGATTATCATGGCGGGCGGGTGGGCAGGTGGGCATGACATAGGCTCAGTAGCTGAGAGCTCACATCTTACTGCACAGATGAAGGCAGAGGAGACTGGCCCTTGCATGGGCTTTTGAAACCTGAAAGCCCACCAGGGTCCCAGTGACACACCTCCTCCAAGAAGGCCACATCTCCTAATCCTTCAGGAACAGCCCACCAACTGGAAACCAAACATTCAGATATTCAAACCACAACAAACCCCAAAGAATGAGAGTAAAAATTATAAAAACCAAGTTGCATAGACTGGTTTGTATACAATGAAGGGATTGCCTCTTCTTCATAAGCCTGAAGAGAGCATGGTGGCGGCAGACGGGCTAGCTCAGGCTATTCCAAACGTGAGAGCTGGTATCAGACTCACTTCCACTTGCCAAGTATGTAATGGAAATGGCCTGCTGGGATGCGGGAATGGTTCAGCGCATGTCCAGCACATGCAAGGCCCTGGCTGCTAGCATCCTCTCGGAATGCAGAGCACAGCTGGCAGTCACTCTGGTCCCAGTGGCAAACAGCGGGTACTCTAGGGCAGACCCTGTGCTTGACTACGGTGCCCTGGAGGTTAGACGGTTCCTAACTACAGTCTCAACAGGGGACAATTTCAATTTGTGCATGTAAGCCCAGGAGCAGCTGCACAGCGACCCAAGCAAATGAAAGAGACCATCCCACGCTCTCCGGGAGAGCTAGCAATGGGTCTTTTTGTTCTCTGTCTCTGCCTCCCTGTCTGTCTCTCTCTCTCACACGCAGATAGGAAGCAGAACCTGAGCTATCAGTGCACGCTTACAGGCGGGCACACCAGTCAGCCACCTAGGGCGTCTGAAGCCTCTGAGGAGAAAATGAAGTGTGCGGTGTCGTACCACACTCTCCAGTTACAAAAGAAGTAACAGGCTTCCACAGCACTTACTACACTTCAGATCCCTTGAGAGAATTCTTTAATTCTTATGTTCTTTGTATTTAAAACCAGAATAGCTATTATCATTTTCTCTCAAACCTTTCTGGCAGTGAGGGATGCAGCCTGTGCCCGCTCTCGGAATAGCCCAGCTCCAAGGGCACCGCTCTGTTTGGCATAAGCACACTCCCCACCACGGCTGAAGTTAGCTACCCCCACCTTTCTCCATGAAAACAAAAGCCCCTGCCTCGGTCTGCTGTTGACACCTGATCTCGGTCACAGGCACGATGCTTCACTGCTCTGGACCGGGAAACTGAGTGGGCAGCGGGCACAGCAACTGGCAGTCTGACCCTGGCAAGCATCCCTCAGCCATAGCGCTCCCTCCTCCTGAAGGTGAACTTGGTCACAGAATCCCTGCCCTTCACCCTAACTAGATGCAATTGGTCCAGCCTGGTCCAGTCCTACCACCCAAAGACCCGTGCTAGCTTGTTCCTCGTCATCAATTCAGTCTCTCTGTGTGCCCGCCCGCCCCCCCCCAGACTGCCAAACCACAGAAACCCTGTCCCCAATTATTTACCCCTACATCCAAAACCATGTCCACCATTCTTCTAAAATGTCTCTCCAACCCTCCTCCATCTTTACAGTGGCCTCCTCCAACAAGCCACGTCTAAGACCTGCCTATGCCGATGACCGTCTTCCTAAGGCGCGTGGTTTGTTTCCCTTTGCCGATTAACGCAAGAGACAGCTTGGGAACAGGAACCCGGAACTCCTTTCTAATCCTTCCTCTCACCCTCTCACCACCCTTCAACGCTGCACACAGTACCAGCA